GTGTAATGTTGCTTAATAGGTTCACCAAGACTGTGATGAGATAGTTGGAGTGTTGGACCATAGACTTCCTTCGATGACAATAAGAAGGTTTAGAAATAGTGGAATAATATTGGCTATAAAACCTACCTAGTGCTCCCATGTTTCTTCTAAACCTAGCCCAGAAATACTCATAATCCACTCTGGTATTAATGGACTTCCATTTGGTGACAAATTGACAATACATCATTAAACTGCAAGAAGATACTAATATCTAATAGAGTATCTGATTTGTATGTTAGCTACGAGTAAGTTATGATATCTTGCCTCAATTGGTATGGAAGTAGACCAAAGATTTGGTCTGCTTGAACCTGATGCTACTGTCGGTGGTGGTTTAATATGTTGCATAACAGAGTAACAGTAACCGCAGCTAATGGTTCTAGACTTCATGGGGGTGAGCATAAAGGTGCAAGTTTATTTTACTAGGATGCTGCCATTCTGCTGCTTCGGTTATATTTTTTTTTTCCTGGTTACTGTTTTTCTTTCCGTAGTTCTTTGTCATAACCTAAGTTGCTCGGACTCGGGTGTGGGTGTCCGATATGGGTGCGGATCTAGAGGTCGGATCCTTCATGATCTAGATTTTAGGATTCAGGGATACGGATCCAGGTGCGAATACGGGTGCGGGAATTCGGATACAAATAATTAAAAGATCCAAAAATAGATTATAAAAATATGTCTAAATTATAAGATGATATGTGGAAAACTTACAAGGTATTCTGAGAAGGAGAAAATATTAATGAAGAGGAGAATTCGAGAAGGAGATAAAAGGAAAAGGACTGACATAAAACTTTCTATATACAAGGTATTCCATTTTCTTCAATTTCACCTTAGCTTTTGTTTTGTTTTTAGAAATCATTGTATCTATCTCGAATTTCTCTGTCAATTTTGGTCAAAGTGCCCAAAAACAGTTGACCAAATCCGGTATGGATCACACACCCACACCCACGTCATGTCGATAAGGGTGTGGCAGAGTCCGAGCAACTTTGGTCAAAACTACTGCGACTCTGCTTTTATTGAGCCGAGGGTCTACCAGGAACTAGGGGTATTCATAAAAATCCGAAAAATCGAACCAAACCGACCAAAAGAACCGATACTTTTTGGTTTGGTTTGGTTTTGGTTTTGAAATTTAAAAACCGATCAAATTTGGTTTGGTTTTGGTTTTAATAAAAAAAACGAACCAAACCGGATATAGGAGTAGCTATTTTAAATTTATTATTACACCTACAAAATTTCAAAAATTTTATTGTAAATGTTAATCGTTTGCGCTTTTAGTACAGTTCTTTACCTTTACATTCTAGTTTGATTGGTAGTTTTCTTTTGTTAAGTGTAAAAATCTATTTCATGTTAAAAATAATATATTTTTAAGTGAGTCCTTAAATTATTCATCATTATTTGATTCAATTATCATCAATATATCTTGTTAAATAATAGATTTCTCAGAGGGCAATTGATTTGATAGTGTTACGTTGAAAATGTGGTCGTCGAAATATGTGTTGGGTAGTGTATGTCTTATATTTAAGAAAAAGCCGACAAATAACCGAAAAAACCGAAAAACCGACTTAAACTGAATCGAGAAAGAACCGACTTAATTGGTTTGGTTTGGTTCTAATATTTGAAAAACCAATTTACTTGGTTTGATTTCTTTTTAGGGAAAAATCGATCCAAACCGAACCATGAACACCCCTACCAGGAACAACCTCTCTACCTTCACAAGGTAAGGGTAAGGTCGGCATACATACTATCCTGCCTAAACCTCACTTGTGGGTATACACTGGGTATGTTATTGTTGTTGTTGCTGCTACTAATTGGTGTGAAGGTGAATAATAGTGCATTAGCTGGTTAGATCTGTTGAGCTTTGGAGAGAGAGAGGGGTTAGGATAGATTTTGGACAGTAATGGCGAGGTTATTATATCGCGTAATAGTACCATTTTTCTTTATCCTTTCCTCTAAGCTGATAATGTAAATTGTTCACAATTTCCAAGTATAGTGGCAGAAGTGTCTGTGAAGCCTTTCTATATAGTGAGAATGAAAAAATAGGAACTGATGTAACCTATTGAAAAAATAAAGCAATAAAGAGAAAAAATAGAAACCAATATAGAATTCGACCGACCTTGAAGAGTAGGAGGAAAATTTGCCGCTAATTATGTTCCCTTTAAAAGCAAGTATGTGAACGAAGAGTTCTCATATTGATGATATTTCATATGCTTTGGTGAAAACTCTGAAGTTGACACTTGGAAAAACACAAGGGAAATACCGAAATAGGAATCTGGAGGGCAAACTGTGGCTTTATGGTATAGAACTGTACTTAAAGAATCTACAACCAACAAAAAAGATTTCCCCTTTCAAACACTAGCATAAGACTTCAAGGAATTTAGAAAATGATATAGGGTCAGACTTCTTCATAAAAGAAGAGGGTAACCACTTGTAAGATAACCGAGAGAGTTAAATTTTTTAAGCATAATCTGTAGTCGGAATCTGATTCTGTTCAGCAGAAGGCAAAAAAAAAAAAAAACTATCAGTCGTCTGCTTTTCGACATGGTGTGAAACTTCAGATTTATAGTATCAACCATAAAGAACACAATCTAGAGTGAGAAGTAGTTTTTCTTTTATTAGTAGTAATAATTTTCAGGAAAGTTGTTTTTGTTAGTTACTAGCATGTGAAGTAAACAGTGAAGAATTTAATATGTGGACTTGAAGAAGTTTTAATTAACACGAAATTCTCTCAGGAATCATGCTAAAGTCATGGATCATTTGAGTCAGTTAAGCATTTCATGATTTTTCCTAACCATTACTGTTGCCACTAGACAATAAGGGATAGAGAAGGATGGGTCTGTGATTTGCTTTAGTTTAGTCCTAACAGTCATATCGAGGCTCAAATCAGCTCCTTATCTTTATTATCTTGCTGTTATTGCTTTGAGAAGTTGTTAGTCTGCTTCTGATTACACCTCTTAGGGATAACTAGAAAATTGAAGCAGACAAAGACGTCTAATGCGAGATGGAAAATTGAAACAAAAGAGAATGGTTTTTACGTGGTTTGAGCAACCGAACTACATCTCCAGGATTTCCGTCTGGAGATTTCTTATGCTATCTGAGTAACAGATGCAACTGATGCTATCTGGATTTCTTATGCTTTCTTTTTATTTTCTGTAGATTTGTTCCATAACGACTCTTGTTCAGCAACATGTCTATGTTGTCAGGTCTCATTTTTGTTAACAATTTGAGCATGCAATTTGAGGCAGAGCGTGTTTGATTCTTTGTAAGATTCTTCATGTCATATTCGAGTCTGCCAATTTCCAAGACATCCAATGCTTATGGAAATGTGGATGTTAAGAATTATGTGTGGTTATACAGATTGGACAAGATTTGAAAATGGTTGTGGGAAGTGGCGAAGCTAGGAATTTCACCAGAGTATTCAAATTTGAAAGAACTGAAACAAAATTCCCGACAAAGGGTGTTTAATATATATTGTATACCTCTAAAACGTAATATTTTACCTATATATACAGTGTAATTTTTTCGCCACTGTTTGTGGGGAGGGGGACATGTTAGAAATGATATAACAAACGGCATTGATGTATATGATAAAATGAGACGAGGTCGTCTAAGATAGTTTGATATCAAACTATCAATAGCAGAGTTGGATACAAATATCAATAGCAGCCAAAAATGGGAAATGAATGGAGAAATGTCATTGGAATGAAAAACATTATTCATAATTGTTGCTTTGTATTAATTGCATCAATAGATACTTTGGACATTATTATCGATCTTTGATACTTAAAATTTTCAGTACAAAACACTACAAATTGCTGAGACTTATCAAATGTTTTTCACCATCCAAACATTGAAAACATTTTCGATGATAGATAAATCAAATTCTTAGTCAAATCCAAATTCAGATTCAAGATCAACGTACAGAGCAAGCTATCAAACCTTTGAGTCGTTAACCGAAGAATCAAAGAATACTCTCTCGAGACTTAAATCTGCAAATAAATACTACTCCTTATGTTCCACTTTGCGTAAATCTTCTATTATTCGTAGAGTCAAATAAAATTTTCTTCGACTACGTTTCTTGCAAACACTTTCTAAATATTTTGAATCATGTTAACTATTGTGATTTGTAATACTTTTTAGTGTTAACAAATAGTAGGATCGAGAGTGTCTTTTAAGATTTTGATACATAAGTAAGCGCACGCCATGAGAGGCAGATCTAACTTTCTGACACCGAATTTAACTGAACCCATAACTTTCAACGTGGAGCATAAATTTATAGGTAAAAATTCTCTAAAATTGCAATAAATAGCAAAATTCTAAAATTGAACCCATAATTTTAAAAATGAGATGAGTTCAATAATAAAAACCTTAAAAGCTAAACCCATAGAATTAAAATTCTGAATCCGTCTTTGTCCACGAGTCGTAGAGATTTGGACCACAAAGCACTTTTTGGAAAAAAACTCAACTCTCTGGACCTTTTGGCATAAAAATTACTCTCCTTTACTTTTACTTGTCCACTAAAATACATGTTCACTTTTACTTGTCTATTTTAGCAAATCGAGAGAAATAAAAATTACTCTCCTTTATTTATTTTTCTGTTTTATCCTTATCATTAACGGCTCATTTCTCAAATTATTTTCAAGACCTTTTGAAGTACTATTATTATTATTATAGTAAAATATGTGCCTATTAGTATTTCTTAATTGGAGTGCAAAGTTCACTCTGTACAAGAAAAAATGGACCTAGTTAGTAGGAAATTGAAGTGGAAAAACTAGTAACTCGTTAGTTACGTAAACTACACCATAAATGAATGAAACTAAAGATTCTAGTTTTAATGGGGACATAAATCAAGTGGTTTAATGAATTAAATTAAAGAAAAGAAGCTTTTAGTACTTCACATTTATAGATAACCACAAAATCAGTGCTACTGACAAAGCCAACGGTAACTTTATTCAAACCACTTAAAAGTCTCCTTGACCGTTCTGTCCCAAAGTATTCTCCATCTTTTTCCTCAGTTTTCTTCTATCAGAAATCCCAATCATTGTAGTTGAAGATAATGAGGTGCTTTAAATCTTGCTTTGGTAATTGCAAGCACAAGAAAATCATAAAGCCATGTACTAGAAGTTATAACAAGATTAATAGCATCTCTCCTAAAACTCTTCAGGTTGGTATCCCATTCCCACTTATTATTCTGGTAACTGTATCATTACTATCTGTTTGTTTTCTTATTATCTTCGGTTTTCTTAGAATCTACAATCAGGGGAGGATGTAGTGCTATCTCACGAGTCCAATTGAACTCATAACGTTCGATATGGAGTAAAAATTTATATGTAAAAGCTCATTAAAATTGCAAAAATAATAGATAAGAACTCATAACGTAAAAAATATAATGTGGTCAATGTTAAAAACCTTAAAAGTTGAACCCATAAGCTTAGATCCGCCTGTCTACAATTGTTTGTTGCCACTGCTTTTTTTTCATCTTGTCTTGAGTCGAGGGTGTATCAGAAATAACCTCTCTAACTTCCAAGGTAGGGGTAAGACTACCCTCCTCAGACACCACTTGAGAGATTTCACGGAATTTTTTTTTCTTTTTAATTTGAAGTTATTGATTGACTTCTCATACTTCCTTTTTTTCTTTTTTGTTTAAAGAATTTGCTTCGGACACACGAAAATGGTGAAGCATCTGTAGCCATTATTAATGCTACAAAAGAAGAAGCTCAGCTCGAGGATGCTACAAACCTCATTAACCTCATTCAAGAATCCAAGTAAGATTTTTTTTTCTGAAATCTTTAGATGTCATGTTTTAAAGCTAACAATAATTAGAGAGACGGATCTAGGATTTAATTTGATGGATTCAGTCCGCTAAAAACTAGATCCATTACACTTTTGAAATTATGGATTCAGTATCTAATATTTATTAAAATTTTAGTGATTTTTCACATTTATATTATATTCCGTGTCGAAAATTTTGTCACTCTTCATTCTCTGAAAAAAAACAGGAATAAGGAGGAAGAAGAGGAAGAGTTGAATAGAAGCAGCAGAAAGAAGGTTACATTTGATGATGTAAATATATCATCAATCATCAATGAGAGGGGCTTAGCAAACCAAGAATCTGCAAATTGCTTAGAGGAGATATGCAAAAAGGAAAAGGAAAAGGAGAAAGCGAACGTAAAAGAAGAAGAAGAAGAAGAAGAAGAAGGGAACACGTTTCCTCCAAGTCATAGATATCATTGCTGCAGAAACAGTGATGACGAATTTGAAGCTATTGATTTAAACGATAGTAGTGATGTGGAAGATGACGACGCCAACAATAATAATGAAATAAATGACGATGAAATTGAATTTTCTGAAAATGCAGCAATGATTCAACAAGAACAGTCTTCCGAGTCATCTTTATTTTCGCTCTCCATAGACTCTAGGAAAAGAAATCCGACGCCAGAAATGGGTGAAAAGGAGGTCAATAGTCCATTGAAACTTAGTACACAATCCATCAATTTTAGTGCTAAAGATCGGAGTCAATTATCAGTGTTGAATCCAATTCAAGAGAAGGAGAATATCAACATTCTGAATCTTCCTAACTTTAGAATTAGTACTACTTGTTGTGTACAACAAGAGCCTAGTTTGAAGCAGTCAACAAAACAAACAAAGCGCCAGGAGGAGAATCAAATCACAGTAGATACTAGCCTTTCGAGCTGGTTAATTGAATCACAAGACGAGGATACACCAAATTCCAAAAACAATGTTGGTGATTTGGTTGGCAATTATTCATCTTCAGAGAGGACCAAGTCTCGGGTACGAGTTGAAGATAGACCAATTTTAGGAGAGTTGACAGTAGCTGAACTCAAACATATAGCTAATTCATCTTCTCCAAGACGATTACCGACCCGTAGTCCAGATGAAAAGAAGCCAATTATAATAGGGACTGTGGGGAGTTATTTGAGACATACAGGGCAGGAGGCTACAGATTCAGATTCTGCTTCATCTTGCAAAGGCATTTCATCGAACAAGACATATGCGCTCCTAAGAAAGGTACATCGTGTTCTCATTTCCTACAATTTTTTACTTTGCTTTAATTTTCAACTCACTTCTCTTCTATATTCAGCACGAAGTTTAAGAAAAAAAGAAAAATTTTAAAATTGCAAAAGTAACATTTGTGTCGCTATAAGACTTTTGAAACTTGTGGACGTGCAAATACCATTTATTTTCTTCTAACAATTCGACTTGGGATTTGCAGGATAGAAACAACAGCAGCCATTCTACACCATTTCAGGTCAGGTTAGAGAGAGCACTAGATAGTGGTTTGGCTCGAGCTTAACCATATAAGGTCTATCGGAAACAATCTCTTTATAGAGTAAGATATGCGTACACATTACTCTCTTCAGACTCTGCTTGTGAGATTACACTGAATATTTGTTAAAAGGGATCAGTAAGCACAATGTCTCATCGTTCGACAGAAAAAAGTTGTGCCCCTTTTGTGTAATTAGTATGAATTGCATTTTGTTGGACGTGCCAGAATTTGTTAGGAGCGTGTATTCTTCAGAATTTGTCGTGCCAGTGAAATGTGTGTGTATGTTCAAGCGATTTGATAGTGTAAAAATATTCATGACGGCATATTTATGAATTTAAGCTTTTGAAATAATGTTTTGGCAATAGAATTAATATTTTGAAATTATTGTGTGGTAAAATACTTGATTAATATGCAATGGTGATACATTTATCTGATTGTACACTTAGGATAATGAAACATTGCATCGAGACATATAGCTAAATAAAAAATAAACAAATTAAATTTGCTATATAATGACTTTTTGGATTTGAAATTAGTCTTTAGCCTTGAGCCTTGACTTTGACACATCTGTACGTAATTTGATTCATTAATAATGTGGCATTGGAGTCTGTTTAGATAACAGTCCTGTTTTCTAATATAAACTTTTGAGAAGTTTTATTCAACCAGAAATCATTAGAGTGGACTTTTCTCAATATCTTCTAATCATTGAAGTTTAATGATGCAATTGTTCTTGAATTGAAAGGGAAATTTGACAATCAATAATTAATATAATTTCTTTAAAGGTCAAAACAAAAGTTGGTTAAATTTCATCTCTTTACTAAAATCTAGTAGAAAATATTTTATAGTTTATTTTACTTTATAAGGATCAAACTTTCTACAAAATGAAATCTTACATTATTTTTGCTAAAATATGCAAGTGCAATCTTTAAAATTTGTTAGTTCAACTTAAATCATTTATTTTATGTTACATTAAAATTATTAACTTACTTTATAAGCTCTCTTCTCTTATAAATTTGTATTAGTTTAGCTTAAGTCATAACTCTTTATTTTTTCTTTGTCTTTTGTTTGTAAATTAGCGGCTTTTTCGGTTACAGATTTTAGATTTTTCCCAATTTGTAGAGTCTAGAAGGTTTCTAAACTGGGTAAATAGATTTTAATTAAAGTAACAAAGGTGAAAATTCTTTGAAATAAATTTTTAATTTAAATAGATTAATTGTTAATATATTTACTTAAAGTAAGTGGTCTTTGATAAATATTTTAAATTTTTTGTTCAACTTTCTTTTATAGAAAAAGGGGATGTTGATTGCAACTTTTTTAAGTTGTTCATTTTGTGGTAGCATTATGAATTTAATGTAAAAAAGGCATCGGAAAAATCTTACTTGCCGGTGTAAACATTATTTTTCTTGAACCCGCTTGCTTGAAATCTTGGGTCCGCCACTGCCTCCGATCGAGACCCCATGAACACACTAATATAATACTATGTATTTAATTTGTACTTCGTAGCTCTTTTTTTGGTTTAGTTCTATTTTATTTTTCCTTCTTATCATTCTTTCCTTTTCATCTCCTACTCCAAGTCTTCACGGTAAACAACAAAGGAGTCAAGAGATCAAACTACTTATTACTTCTATTGAGATTTGTCTTATCTTGAACCATTATAAATTGGTTTTATTATAATAATTTATGTGACAATAGGATCTAAGTTCATGATGGTATTTGTTTAAATATTTTTATCCCAAATTATTGCTTAAACATAATTGAATTTCAATCAAATTATTGATATTCTTTTTCAAAATTTTAGGATAAAATATACTTTTCTTTTTTGGATAAGCAAGTCACACATAAAGAACTCGTCATATATTCTAAGAGCTTTTTAATATTTTCATTCTTCTTTTAGCTATAAAATTTGCAAAGTTTCAACTTTTACAGTATTAAATTTTCATTAGTATTTTACTTTTCCTTTTTTATTTTGAAGTTTATAGTAAAACTTGAATAGGTTTTAAGATAAACATTATGCATTAATTGTCAAATTATAATTGATAATATTAATGACAAACACAGATTTAGATTAGCAAGATTATAATTTATCTCGTTTAATAATGTGCAATGTCACACCCCTTTTTTACCTTCACTAGACCCACTTATAAATAATAAAAAGATTTTTGAAGCTCAAAGGATTTTCAATTATGAAAAGTGACAAAATTGTGCTTTGCGTTTCAAAGGATTTTTCAGAGTCGCCACCTGACATTGGTTTCGGTGTGCCAGGTCACCGTTTTCAGAATAACAATTTTCCTTCAGAACATATTTGACTCTTAAGCCAGTTTGCACCAGATTCGGGTAAGGGGGTTCATTTGACTAGGGGAGAAGGTGTTAGGCATTCCCCGAGTCCCGTGAAAGCCACAGTTGCGTACTTGATCTAGTTGGCTTTCCAAAATATTCAAATTGAGGTAAAAATAAACACAGAAAAGAAAAGTAAACACACAAGAGGCTCGCGGTCGTTCCTACCTAATAAAAGAAAATAGAAAAAGAAAATTAAAGTAAAATCCTAAATACTAATACATACTATGCTTTTCCACGAGATTCGTCATGGCCTCCAAATACAAATACTTCGGAGCATACCCCGGATAAAGATATATACAAATTTCGCGAGGTATTTTCCGGATAATAAACTAAAAGAAATGACCCCTCGCCTCAAAATTAAACAAACAAAATCCTAAAGTTTGCCTACCCGAACATTCTAAATCATGCTCGAGTTCTCTTGACTTTTTATTTTTATGTATTTGGCCAAGCTCAATTCCTAAGGCATGTAAACAATTTAATCACTAACGAGCTCGGTCTTTTCCTATACCCGGCCCAACAATCATTCAAAATAATTCAATCAAACTGTTTTTCACACAAAGCTGATAGTCGATGCGCAAAACACAAACGGAAAGAAAATATAACTGGACAAAATACACCATTTATCCTTATTTCTTAGCTTATAGAATTAATTTGTTAACCCTCTCAATGTCACGACCCATTTTCACAATAGGTCGTGATGGCGCCCAACACCATTGCTGGGCAAGCCAACGCGGAATTATAATTAATTTTTTTTTTTTTTTTTTTTTAATCTTTTTGCCAATTAGTTTCAGAAATCTCTTAATTCAAGGTTAAAAAACAAGTAGTGGCCATTAAGGTACCCAAAATAATTATACAATTTCCAAAGAAATAATCTACTAAAGTATGTGCCAAGACCTGGTGTCATAAGTTACGGGCAACTAGTAGAATATACAAAAGTACAATCCTATCCTACTGTCCGAAATGGAATAGACAGCAAAACTAAATAAGAGAAACTCCATCAAGCTGCTGAACGGTACAGGAGGGGAGCAGCTCACCGTGGAAGTCTCGGAATAGGCTCAATGATACGCACCAGACTGATAGCCAGATGTACCTACCTCAGACCCTGTACAATTAAGTACAGAAGCGTAGTATGAGTACATAAATAATATGTACCCAGTAAGTATCCTGTCTAATCTCGAAAAAGTAGAGACGAGAAGTCGACATGACACTTACTAGGGTCAAAATAAAATGAGATACAAATTATACTGTGCATGGGTAAAAGTAATCAAATAGCAGTATGTAGCAAGAACTAACAGGTTCTCCCCTAAGTAATGTCACTAGTGGCAACTTCATTTCAGGGCAAATAATAATCTAAATCATAGAAATTCTGAATAAAACAGGCACAAATAGTGCCGAGGTCGTACGGTCCGATCCAACATAAAGTAAATTGTGCACTGCCAGGGTCAAGCGGCACGAACCATAGATGCATCTATTACCCGCTCGCGAATCAACCATGCGACGTGGTCACATGTAATAAACATATCAACAGACAACAACGACATGCAGCTGGAGAGAAGCTACTCAATGCATTTTTCATCTTTCCTTTTTAAAAACCAAGAATGGTCATATTCCTCTTAAGTAACTTCGTTTGTCATAATCTCCACGATTAAACAGTCTAAATTAAACATAGAGTTGCAAAGATACCACATAAAGCATGCTTTTGGGTCCTAAACTACCCGAACTTAGCACAATAGTAGCTACGCACGGACTCTCGTCACCTAGTGCGTACGTAGCCCCCGCATTTAATGACAAATTATTAGATTATATCACCTATGGGGACAATTTCCTCTTACAAGGTTAGATAGGAGACTCACCTCGCTCCAATGTGCACTTCCAATACCAAGAATGAGCCCGAACCCTCAAATCGGAGCCGAATGATTCAAAACTAGATAAATAAGGTAGGAATTAGTCAATATAAGCTTACAAGATCATTTTCTAACTATTTACTCAATTTCCCACCCTTAAACACAAATTTCCTAAAATCCGACCCGGGCTCACGTGCCCGGATTCCTAATTTTTTCGAAAGAAGTTGTTCTCTATAGCCTAAGGATCGATAATATATGATTTCTAATTTACTCCCTAACAAATTTTGTGGTTAAATCTAGCTTTTACTAAAACCCTAGGTTTTTGCTTTAATCCCATGATTTCACCTTAATACTAGTGTTTAATCTACCTAAGACATTATTATCAAACTAGAAATAGGTAGAACACACTTACCTCAAGATGCTAGGTGAAGTTCTTCTCTCAAAAGCTCTAAAATCGCCCAATGGAGGAGTGAAAAAGTGACAAAAAATGACTTAGAACCTGTATTAAATGAACCTCTCTGCTCCAACGATTTTCGCATCTGCGGTCAGGGGACCGCATCTGCGAGAAATGGACCGCATCTGCGAAATGGGCCAAAAGAGCTGGGACCGCTTCTGCGGTCTAGAGGCCGCATCTGCGGTTCCTGGCCTGGCCTGCCCTGGGCTGCTTCTGCGATGGAAGGACCACATCTGCGGTCTCGCGCCTGCGGTCCACCAACCGCATGTGCGGTTATGACAGAAGCAGCAGCTTCAGCTCTTCCCAAAAATTTGCACTTCACTCGAGCCTTGTCCGATTGACGCTCGGGGCTCCCGGGCCCCGCCCAAACATACCGACAAGTCTGAAATCACGAGACGGACCTATTCGAACCTTCGGAACACCCGAAACAACGCTAAATTTAGGAATCACCCCCTAAAACCAAATGAATCAAACTTATGAACTTCAAGTTCTTAATTTTTCTCTAACGGGCCAAAACACCCTTAAACTACTCGGATTGACACCAAATTTTACGGGCAGGTCTTAAATGATATTTCGGACCTGTACCGGGCTTCAGAACCAACATACGAGCCCGATACCCATGAAATAAATCATTAATCAGTTTCTTTAAATCCTTAAAACTTCAAATTAATAATTTCAAATAA